GCACCCTTCATGCGACTCGCCGAATATCTCACGGCGCTTCGCGCTTGGTGATGTGAGAGCCTGGTCCGGTGAGAACCCGGCGTGCTCCGTCCCGGCTTTGTAGGGATGCGAGGTCAATGATCTAACGACTACGGCATGCACGACTATGAGTACACCCCCCCCCCATGGACAAAGTGGTCGACAGCCTTTTGACTTGTACAACTGACTCGCCATACCTCCACCCCGTTGCTTGGTCACTGTCGTTCACAGATCAAAAATGCAGGCAGATTTCCAGGCATGGTACGAACCGTTGGCTTGCTCTGTCGAAGAAAAAGACGGGGCGGTGGCCTCCGAAGGTAGTCACCTCCTCGGAGAAGGAGAGAAGAAGCCAACAGCCCAAAGTTTCTGCGGCGACGATAACCCCCGGACGGCACATCACCCCGCCCCTCAGGGCCACCGACAAGCCGTCGTCGGGAGGACAACGCGAGAGAGGCAATGCGAGGAGTCAGTGGCCTTTGACGGGAGCGGGAAGGATGAGGCCAACACCCCCACGAGAAGGCCGCGGCCTCCGGTGGACGCCTGGGGAACGCCCCCGGCCTCTACCAGCCATCGGAGGGGGTCTCCGATTTCCACGGCCACCGGGAGCGTTTCGGGCGGAGATGGTGGCGCTAGCAACAGCGAGTCCGTCCCGACAAGCGGTGATGGGAGAGGAGCATGGCATGGCGGCACGGGAGGAGGAGGACTGCTCCCACCACTCACTGGTGAGTTGACGCAACCTACGGCGAAGGAAGCGTGTTTGCAACCTGTGTGAGGGCATGAACAAACCTGGCATGTTCATGCATCGGGCGAATTGCTGGTGCGGAAACGATGCCGTCAGTTCCGCCCTGTAGACCAGACACACTTTCCCGGCATTCCTGACTTACACGTGCTAGAATAAGAAAACAGTAGCAGCCACAACGGTGACAACAACCTTCTAAGAAGAAAAAATCTATTTACGTCACCGGTGGCGTTATTTCTTATATACGTCACCGCCCGTACCTCAGCCCACAGAGCTTCAATTGGCACAAAATAAATTGCGTTGTGTAGCTATGACCCACACCAATCATACAAGCCTTTCGACGGTCAAATCCGATAAGTGGTTGCGGAGATATGCTCAAAAGGGGGCTCAGCGGTATGATACACTGTATCTGCCATAAATAAAACGACCGTGCCTCCTCGCAGAGAGTTCTCATCGACACCATATGTAACTCGCGTTGTGTTTCCACGATTCACAGCCATCACTTAAGCTATTGGTGTCGATCGGAGCTCTCTGCACGAAGTTACAGTCGGATTTTTTTGTGGTAGATGCAGTATCATACTGCTGAGCCCCCTTTTGAGCAAATCTCCGCAACCACTCATCGGATTTGACCGTCGAAAGGCTTTTATGATTGGTGTGGGTCATAGCTACACAACGCAATTTCTTTTGTGCCAATTGAAGCTCTGTGGGCTGAGGTACGGGCNTACTGCTGAGCCCCCTTTTGAGCAAATCTCCGCAACCACTCATCGGATTTGACCGTCGAAAGGCTTTTATGATTGGTGTGGGTCATAGCTACACAACGCAATTTCTTTTGTGCCAATTGAAGCTCTGTGGGCTGAGGTACGGGCGGTGACGTATGTAAGAAATAACGCGACCGGTGACGCAAATAGAATACTCCAAGAAGAACCACCAACCCTTCTTGCGCTTTAGGTAAGTGTTGTTTATGTATTTCAATCCACTCTATGCTGTAGCTTCTGCTCGCCGCTGGAACTCCACATCGAGAGACTCCCACAGGATGACCAGGCTATCTGCTTGTAGCTCCGGGCTGGCCCTTCAATTGAAGCTACACAGCAAGCTCTACCTCTCAGCAGTAGTCCAGCTGCAGCGCATCGCGCAATCTCGCTCTCAATCAGATGTTTCGCTCTCAATTTCACCAATATGCTGTTTCTGTTGTACATCCCACGACGCGAACCAGTGGTTCACGCGCGACGGGCCTGTTGACTGGACTGTTGGTTTCCTTGGCGGCCTCGGGCTTCATGTCAAACGCATGACTGATCCACTATACCTCATGGGTCGATCGCCGCCATAAAGGATACTATATCTTCTCTTTGGGTAAAAGTGACCCTGTCACGGTTGTTTAGAACTCTCCACCCTGCACAATTTCCAACTATCCCCAACACGCCGAACTCATATATTGTACATCAAAGAACCCAAGTGGTACCTTCGCCTGCATCGCGCATTCAATTGAACGAGAGTTTGCTCTCTTCTTCTTGCCCACCATGATTCTTTACTCTCAGGGAATAAAGAGGCCGACGATGACATCGCTGCTTTCTATCGGGCCAAAGAGGAGTTGGAGCGCAGAAAGAGCGCTGCCGATAGAAAAAGCGGGGGGAGATGATACCGTATATGACACAAGATAGCATACCCCCTTGTCCAATTTTCGAGGCTCGATTTCTCACCTGCGGGAACAGTCACAGCGCCGAAAACGGCGGCGTTAAAACCGTCTTGTCGAGAAATTTTCGAAAATGGATCATTTCGTTTATGCATCCTCTTCGTCGTGGAGTAATCGAGATTTGAAAATCGGTCCAGGAGGTGTGTTATCTTGTGTAATTTGCGGTATTTTGGAAGTTTCGTTGGGTATGCCGCTTCGAAGGCTGGGTTCTCATGCCCTGAAACTCTTTCATTCGATTATTCCGTGCAAGAGGAGCATGATCGCGTCGAGGTGTCGATGGTGCTTTTGTCGAGCGGTGCAGTGCAGCTTTTCCAATGATGCTTTCGGTTTTTTGGAGAGTGGCGTCGGACCCCCGTTTGGCAGTAATCCACGTAAAACGTGCAGAGCTCACACCGTGTTGGTTATGGTACATATTATATATGACGCGAGCACTGATAACTGTTGTGCGGAGTGGGGATGTCGTGAGTTTCTGCGTTAGCGCTGGTGGCATGTTTCTGACAACCGTATCCGTCCGTCTTGAGGAACTGTGTTGGACGGCAACCGCTGCTGTCGCGTCTGTTCATCTGCTGTTCGTTGCTTAGGATTTATGATATATTATCGCTGGCCTGCCGTCCCTTGCCTGAATTGGCGTTTTTCGTTCTGCGCATGCATGCAGTCGCGGTTGTTGTTTTTGAGGTCTATTGCCGCTGCCAAGCCCGGAACAAAATACGCTCACATGCGAGAAGAAAGGTCTGAGTCGAGAAATACCATTCGGTTCGGCAAAGAAAGTCGTGCCCGCATGTCCGTCGTGTTTTGAGGGAGGAGTGGTCACTTTCTGCCGCACAGCAGTTATGCATTTCCTAACGGGACTCCCTGATTATCACATGCCGTTGAGATAAGGTATTGCCTACACGTCCTGCTGTACGTACGTACTACCCCACGGAGAATATTGACTATAGTCTAGTCTATCTTGCAGAAGACGTTGATCGGTTACAAGTTCGCTGGAACGATCCCCACACCCAACCTTCACCATTCATTCAGTCTGAGCACACCCTGCTGCATTTCACGCTGAGGGTTGCTGTTTTGTTTGGCCTTCGACCAAGACACATCGAAGACACACCGACAACGTGCTGGCTCGCTTTGCCAGGTGCAGTCGCGTGCAGTCTCCTCCAGCCACAAGCCAGTTTCTTTGTGTTTTCCTCAAGAAAATTGGATTATTAGAAAAGGCGACAAGACATCAGAAACGCCGAAACCAAAAAATATCAAAACCAAAATCCAACCAATGAGCCGAACCATTGACTTCTTTTCGGACTCACTAGGTATCACTTATCGGGCCAACCCGACGTCTATGCCCAGGTCATATCCCTTCACAAGAAAACGCAAAAATCAACGCAAACTGGAAAACAAATTTGGTACTAGACAGATTTTTTTATTCCCATTGATCCCTCCCCTCTTCTTGAGCGACAGGGTGGGTGGGTGGGAAAATTCGATCAAGTCCCAAACGAAAACTCTTTTCTCTCGCTGCTGCTTTGCTGCACTGCCTTTGCGGGCGATGCAACGTTTTTCCCTTC